GACTCGAAGAAGCTTGTCTTATTGATTCACCAAATTCATCATTCTTTGCAAATCTTCCTCTTACTCTTGGACGACTATCTGCCAAAGTTTTTCTACATGCATACTACAAAAAAAGAGAAAAAAAAACAGTTGAATAACAATGATAACCACCGGTTTAATCTGGTTTGGTTTAGAAAGAACGGAACCTTGATTTTTTTGTTGAAATTCCTTTCGTTCCTCTTCTTCATGTACCTATGAATCTTCTCTTTTCTTTGCTCGGGCGAGAGTTTTCCAACTTTGTTCAACGCTGAATCTTCTAAACCGGTTACTTCGACCGGTCCTGACGTTGGATGATTCTGTAGTGACACCAAGTGGCTTTGGTTCTCGACACCACCAAATCCCTTCTTCAACAAAAATAAACCGGTTAGCATCACATAACAATACCAAACCGATCGTGTTCCATCATAACTAGACCAACTGGGAATCAAACCGGTTCATTTGATAAATCAATTGGGCATTTTAGGTATTTACAAAACGTATGTTTCAAGTTTCATCATAACAAAACCAGAGCTTTCTTGATCATAACCAAACGTAAACCGGATAAAAAATTGTAACCAAAATTCGATTTACCTGGAGATCTCCTGGATTAAGGATGCGTTTGATGGAGTCTGTACAGAACAATCCACCATTATCAGCTTGAAAATCCATAAATTGATCATGTGGCTTGTTGATTTCCGATCTCAGGTTGGGAAAAACGCTAGAATTTGTGTCAGAAGATAATAAACCGGTGTTCATATTAACCATATACGATGGTAAACCGGAATTAGGGAAGAAAGAAGAGCAAGATGGAGAAGTAGGGTTTAAGCCAAGATTGTAACTTGCGACAGAAGAAAGACAATCTTCTTCGAATAGACCTAGTTGTAAAGGAGGATGAGCCGCAGAGGAAACCGCGGTTAGAGCCAGAGGGTCTCCAGAGTATAAATTGTTAGGAGTCTGATGAACAATTTGGACTCCTGATGTTGAGAAATTAAACTGGTCTTGCCTGGTTGATGTAAGGAGATGATCAATGAATGGATTTTGCATAGAAGACGATGAGAAATCGATTGAAGCAGCTATATCGTATTCGCAATCTTCATTTGATTCAAAGATTATGGACAGATCGGC